TTTGGGCAGAAGGAGAAAGTGCCTTGCAAACTGCAAAGGGGAAGGCTCTGACCGGACCTGGAGACTCCACCAGGGCCATGTCTAACACCAGGAGACACAACGATGTGCTTTAAGGGAATGAGGATCTCAGACAGGTAGACTTCCCTCTTTGGAGACTATCAAGAGAAGCAGCCTTGGTTTCAAACAGCCCTCTCAGGCCAGGGGTTACCCGCACCGTGCTGGGACTTGTGGCCCCGTCGGCCGAGCAGAGCACGGCTCGGCAGAGAGCTGGGGCAGTCCTTCAGGGGACATGGGGGAAAACAGCCACATAAATAGTTGGAAACGGCAGGACGGGCAAGCTGGTGTAGAGCGGGGGAAGAGAGAGGTGGTAGTGGCAGAGCAAACCTCGCAGTCCAGAGCAGAGCGCAGGGGAGGAAGCCTTCCTGCTGCGGAGCAGCGTTTGGGGGCCCAGCGCTGCCCAGTCAGCGACACAAGGCAGGTTCACCTGCTTCCCATAGATACCCATGGCCGATGAGCCAAACTGGCATTTAGCTAACTTTACGTTGCAGTGCCAGAGCCGTCGGCAGCCGGGAGACACAGCTAGAGCAACTCCTGCTTGAAGAATAGTGTCTGCTTTTGGTTTCAGACCCAAACTCCAAACCAGTCTGACCAGCTGGAACCCAGTTTCAGGTTACACCCTGCCTTGCTCTCTGGGTGACTTGGTGGGTAATGATCTCACTCCCAGCACACCTCACGCCATAGTTGCCTCTCCAGGTATCCACACGTGTAGCATCCCCCGCTCCCAGCCCTCCCCAAGCCATGGGACCACTGCTGCTGCTGCTGCTGCTGCTGCTGCAGCAATACCTGAGCACTCCCCCCTGAGCTGCCACAGTCTGGGCAGATGAAAGGGTGCGAGATAGCAGGCATGGGAACCGTACCTGCCCCCTCTGCGGGTCATTGCCTCTCAGACACCACTCCCACGTCAGATAAGACAAACAATTCCCTTTTATTATCAGAGTGAGCGCACAAAAAAAAAAAAATTGAGACGTTAGGTTTATTGCATAGGCCATGATAGGCTGTGGGAAAAACAGAGAGATGAAAAAAATGATACGAGACAGATCATGAAAAGCCATGGAGGAATCTGACCAGCCCCAGGGACACCGAGGCAGATGCCCATGATGGGGAGAAATGTGCAGTCAGATTGCCAGCAGGCTGTGGGCAGCGATTTCTTCCCTTCTAGCCCAGGCAACGGCCCAACGAGGCAGCTCTCCTGGAGCTGCCCTTGAGGGGACCTGAGCCGTGCCCTGAGCTGGGCATGGCTTCACCAGAGCCATCCAGAGCCGCTCTGCCCTTGGCCCTGAAAGGGCCCAAGCATTTAAATGAAAGTCTATACATATATTTATGCTTCTAACACACACGCACACAAGTGCACACACACGTGAAAACACACACACACCGATTTCCTCTCCCTTCACAGCAGTTTTCCAAGAGCAGCAGGCACTGGAAGTTTGGGGATTGGTGCCAACCCCACAACCAAAAAAGCATACGAGGCACTTCACAAATAGCAGCTTCTGCCCCCAGCAGAAGTCCTCAGCTCCCAGAGGTACAAGCCTGGAAAACAGAGGTGCAGCAGTACAGATCTGGGAAGCACCTCGCTGCAAACAGCCTATGGGGGAACACATGGGACCTCGCCGAAGTGGGGATGTCACACGCTGCCACGGGGCCAGGGATGAGCTCTGGACTTCCTGGGGCTGGGCTCATCTTGCACCGGGAGGGATGGGCCAGCAGGAGCGAGGAAGCCCGGGGACATTAGCTGGCAGTATCCAGCCCACTCCTGTGCTCTGGGAGATGCCAGGGACTCAGGTCAGGCTGCAGGCTCAGATGAGAGCGCAGTAAAATCAAAGCTGCAGCAAAGGTCCAGCTGTGAGGGAGCTGGGTCCTTCCACCCTCCCCTCACCACCAGCAGGAAAAATAGGGACGTTTCCTTTCCTTTCATGTGAGAATAAATAGGTATTTTCTCAATGTGTTTGGGTTCAGGCTGAACACTGGAAAAGCAACCAGGGCAACACACAGAGAGAAAATGGTGGACAGGTATTGTATATAGGAGGCTGTAACACAGCAGCCAGGTGAAAAAAAACTAGGTGTGCTTTTCTGTTAAAAAGCAAAGCCTAGTGATTAAAGCAGGTATTTCTGTTTCCTTCCATCTTGAAAACAGGAATCACTGGAGAGTGTCACAGAGTCCCTGGAGCAGGTCTGGATGGTTACGTGAATCTTGCAGCCCTCAAGCGGCTCACCATGACCAGGAGGACTGCTGGGAGGCAGGGCCACCTTGCAGAGGACTGGGGGAAAGGGAGGAAAATAAAAAGTTGGGGGGAAGAAAGTGGCATTGCAAACAACAAATTGCTGGCTCTGATGAGCTTGTACCATTCACCAACGTGAATGTTACACAGATCCAGTTCCAGGGTCCTTCAGTAAGCTGAGCGGAGTTGTGCTCTGGGTTGAGCAAGAAGAAAGATACAATTGAGAGTTTCACTGGATTGTTTGAGGTTAGGAAGGGATAGACATCAGAGAGCATCAAAAGGCTCCCAGATCCTTGCCTTCCAGAGCAGCCATCTAGCCAAGGCAATCACAAACACTAGTACTGCCAAATCATGGCTAGATCTTGGCCTGACGCTACAAATGTCTTCGAAGAGGAAGAGTCCTTCAGACACAGGCCCGTGTCTAAAAACAGAACTCCAGACGTTTTGGGGAGTGCCCCAGTGCTGTGCTGGAGAGAGAGAGAGGCTGTAGGTCAGACTGGTTTGGTGGCAGTGCTGTAAAACAGATGTTCAGTGTCCTCTGTGGTGGAGAGGGTTGAGTTGGTAGCAGTGGTCGGCTGACGACGGCGGCTGTTCTTCTTCCTGTTCTTCAGGAAGAAGTAGCCAATGATCGCCAGGACCACCATGATGCAGATCCCGAGGAGCACAGCAATCACGACCTCAAAGGCGCCTGTGGGGGATACATGAACATGTTAGAAGGACTGCTCCATGAGCTCTGATGCAGCAGGGGCAGTCAGGAAGAAGAAGCAAGCACAAAAGCCACTGCAGAGGCTGTGCTGGCAAAGAGAAGAGGTGGGCAATAGCTGGCCTGACAGCAGAGTGGTCACTGCAGAACTGGGCAAAGAAGAAAGGCAGCAACCACATGGCATAAGGGTATGGCCAGCCTATAGCCTGCCTCTCAAATTATGGTTCCCATCATTTCCCAGATGCATCACGCCCTCTAAAGGCTATTTGGTGCCTTTGGCAGGCTTGGCCGTTTGACAGCCCTATGAATATCACGCCCTTCTGCAAGGCTGGCCTTGCTTCATATGTCAACAGGGAGGCCACCAAGGGGTGGTCGCAGAAAGCACCTCCTGGTTGGGATAACACTGTTGGAGTGAGCTGTGGTGGACAGGCTGAGTTTGCAG